GGTTACTGTGGTTCACTATAGGAAATGTTGGGTGTTTGTTTTTCTCTCCCATTTGTACGTTACAGTCTTTGCACAAATTATTTTTTCCCTTGAGATGGGTGTGTTTTGTTGTGTTTCTATACATTTTAACCACCTCATAGCCAGGTTGTAATACATGCGTTAATCGTGATTGACATAGAGCAATTCTTACTAATCTTTTGCCTATCACGTATCATCTAAGAGACAACACTAGCCTTACACCGGCGTATTTTCAAACCGTTTACAACCTTATATAGTTCTACTATTGTCGCGTCTCAGACAGAAAAAAAAACATCAAGCAAAGCGTGATGGTCAAAGAACACAATGCCGAAAGGGTTTGCATCTATTGTGAATATATATAACGCAATAATGATGGCATAGAATTAACACATTATCAGAGAAACAACAACAACAACAACAACAACAACAACAACAAAACTGTAACACAAAACTTTGTAAATGAATGTTTAGCATGTTTAATATTTGTTGTGGTTACAATAATAATAAATGGAACGTTTGTCAGATCGATAATCGATAATGTATGTCGAGTTCAGCCCATATTAGCTGTCAAAATATGTGATTAAATATGGTTACCGTGAAAATGAATGCTTCTCAATTTCGAGATCTTAAAAATACAATGTGTGATACCTACTTTTGTACAAGTGTGTTGAATTTATTTGGTATTCCCTACTAGCTTTTCGCCCCTAACAATAACCAATCACGTCAAACAGTTATTATATATACATATGAACACAACGACAAGCACATATGAAGCCCACCAGTACACTTCTTTGTCTGTTCGCAATACAATTCTTATGAAATTTTACAAATAAATGTTATACAAGACACAAATTATTTATTCATCTAGAAACTCTTTGCGTTAAATACTTCATATCCGAATATTGCTTTGTGTTGTGGCAATTTCTTTTACGAAAACACTATATTCACGCCCTATAGTGGCGACGATTCTTGTTTCAAGTTTCAGTACGATATAATGGATAGTGAGTAACACTTTGATCACATGACATCGTAAAAAAATGTTTTTGGAAATTTTTTGTTTCAGGGGCAGTGGGCAATTTTTTTATCTCCGAAATTTTCGACCGCACACAATTGGTTCAGGTTTAATCAATTTGTCAACAGATGGCGCTGTGCTGAGTGACGGAGTAAGTGAAACTTTGTAACGTTAAACTCGGGGACAAAAACATTAACCAAAATTGTGTGTGTGTTTCCAGTCCGTTACATACCGGCACTGTGACGAGTTATCTACTAGGAACAATAGATACAACTCGTGCAACGAGCTCGTGTACGACGAGTGAAAATCCGCTGTATGTTGTCAACTTACTCCTTCGTCTGAGTTACGACCCAACTTGACATTGACAAAAAAACACTTAATTGGGGGGTCATTATTTTGGCCGCCCGTTATGCGTTGTGTGTACTCTTCGTGAAACTTTCTTGGAAAAAAGATCAAAAACATATATTTTAGTCTTCTCAATAGTAGGAATGATACAATGCGGCATGTTTTCTTTTGTTTTGTCATCCCACAATGTTGCTGCGGTTCCGTAGCTCTTTGGTGTGTACGTCCATGCTATATTCAAGGTTCGGTTACCCAAGTTTTAGCCAACTGCCCCGGAATTAGATGTTGCCATAGCCTTAAATATAGGTGACAAGTGAGGGCGCTCTTCAACCAGGAAGTATTCTCACTGGGGATTTCCTCCGACGACTCGTTCATTATTTTAGTCGTATCTGTGTTGGAGGTATGTATTGGACTTTTCTTTTTACTCAGACCATAGTTTAGTTTAAAGATCCTTCAAGTGTGTTTAGGTATGGCGATGAGGTAGTATCAGATCATTTACTTTTCGGAAACAGTCCTAATCCGGTTATTCAAGAATAATGTTACCATGGAGGTAAACAAACCTCCATGCTGTTATCGACTGCACAATCACACACACACAAATACAACCTTAAATCTAATTCTGATATAACTTGCTCATCAATAATATCAGTACGGATGTAGTAGATAGATAAACATTTTGTGACATCAATGTGTTATTTCAACGGTGTTAGGGTGCCCGGCCGATAACTACTAATTTTGGTGAACCCTGAAATATTCAAAGGGCAGTAGTCATCGCGCCACGCATGTGCGAGAAATATGGGTCTCATATAAACAAATATGGCGACTTTGACTGTTGCACAGATCAACGAGTACAAACCTCAGACCATTAATAAATGTATTAGTGGTCTGAATACAAATCGAGACGTTACCAAGCATTAATTGGGTATTTTTTAGGTGATTGAAAGGTATTAAAGGAGTCACCGGCGGTAATTAGTGCAAGTAGCACCCACGTCAAACCTCATACTTGTGATTTCCATCAGAAAACCGCATTGGGTTGTGGGAAAATCAATGTTTATCAACACAAATGTCGCAGCACGACGACCACTGCCCTTTAACAGTTCCGCCTGTTTGTTTAGTATTTCAGCTTAGAACTTTGTGTTTTTGAGAAATTTCTGTTTAAAAGCTAGAGTCATTGCTCCACATTATGTTCAATATAGGCCACATATGCTGTGTATCCAAAACATGTGATATGGGCCCCATGGGCTGTGTATCCAAAACATATGATATGGACCCCATAGGCTGTGTATCCTAAACATGTGACATGGACCCTATAGGCTGTGTATCCAAAACATGTGATATGGGCCCTATAGGCTGTGTATCCAAAACATGTGATATGGACCCTATAGGCTGTGTATCCAAAACATGTGATATGGACCCCATAGGCTGTGTATCCTAAATATGTGACATGGACCCTATAGGCTGTGTATCCAAAACATGTGATATGGGCCCCATAGGCTGTGTATCCAAAACATGTGATATGGGCCCCATAGGCTGTGTATCCAAAACATGTGATTTGGACCCCATAGGCTGTGTATCCAAAACATGTGATATATGGACCCTATAGGCTGTGTATCCAAAACATGTGATATGGGCCCCATAGGCTGTGTATCCAAAACATGTTATATGGACCCTATAGGCTATGTATACAAAACATGTGATATGAGCC